CAGTGCTTTCGGCAAACTTCGCCATCGCCTGTGGAATGAGCGGGGTATTCGACTTGATACGAACATTCGGGCTTACAGAGCTGTTGTACTTGCCATCCTTTTGTATGGCTCAGAGTCATGGACTCCATACAGGTACCACATACGCCAACTAGATGTTTTCCATAAAAGCTGTCTGCGTGTAATCTGTGAAGTTAAGCTTCAAGATAGGACATCTAACGTAGACCTGTTTAATAGGTGTAATATTGGAGGAATCTAGACATTTTTCATACAGTCTCAGTTACGGTGGACTGGTCATGTCTTGAGAATGTCTGATGGCAGGATACCCAAGATCCTAATGTACAGCCAGTTAGACCAAAGCTACAGGAATGTAGGACGCCCATGGCTAAGATACAAAGACAAGCTGAAGAACAACTTATCAGCTGTCAATATACCTCATAACACCCTTGAGCGCTTAGCCTTGGAGCGGGAGATCAACGTGTTTTAGTGAACTCAGCAGTTTTCAATCTGCTTGTCTCAATCGTCTTCAAGAAGCGATAGCAAGATCTAAAAGGTCGGCCAATCTAACAGTGATCTCATCCCACAATCCTCACTCTTGCTCCATAGGCGGCCTCCTTTGTAAATCATTAGCCGGTCTTAAGTGCCACTTAAGATTATCGGGCAAAATTTCATAACTGAATCAATTGGTTAAGTTGTCAGATCCTCATACGTCGAAACCGACGGGAGAGTTCATTATTATTGTGTTCTATGGATATGAGTTTGTAATTATGATCGAATTTTAAATAGATTCAATTAAAAACAAAACAAAACAACAACAAAAAAAAACAATCTGATGATAGCAAATGCGTGAAACCCAGGGTTACAAACTCATATCCATACAACAGCGTTTTTACTAATGTGTGTGTGTGTGTGTGTGTGTGTGGGGGTAATAATTCAGTTGGTAAATAATCTAAGTGAATCCTAATAATATAAAATATTAAAACTGATATAAAAAAAAAGAGCTCAATGTATTTATTATAACAGAGCATCTAAATTTTTTCTTCATATCTCTGAGTTGACAAGGGCTACAAGTCTTGTGGGCCAGAATAGCTATTCGAATGAAGTAACTTTGGATTTTTATTCTATGTAATATATATATATATATATATATATATATATATATATATATATATATATATATATGCTTGCGAGTATATGGGCAGGCCTGCACCAGGTGCTACTACATTATTTAGTGTTAACTCGGTATTACATTTCAATGGGAGTCCGTCCTGAGCGGGGTAACTGAGTAGGGAAATTTGGCTTGACAATTTTCTAACAGTATATATATATATATATATATATATATATATATATATATATATATATATATATGTATGTATATATATATATTTGCCACAAATATTTAAACAAAATATCGAAATGTAAACCGGTTGAAATAAATGGTGAAAAAATAGTAGGTCCGAATTTATCAGTACCAACACCCATTCTGCTTCAATTAATATCTAAACCCCCCTGCCCCGCCCAGTTCCAATGTTGGGGTCACGAAACCTTCATCGATCTGATATTCATTCAAAACACTCGAATGTTGACTTTCGCCAGTCCGAATGTTAAATTGGTATCGTTGAAACGAACACTTTTATTTATTGTAATTTTCTTTTATTTATCTTCTTTGTTGTCTGCTTGTTTTTTTTGTTTTGTTTTTATCACTTTTCTATGCCATCCTATTTCCAAATTTTACTTTTTCTTTCTCTCTTCATTGTTTTAATTTTATCTTAATACTTGCCTAAAGCTTGTCTCTCTCTCTCTCTCTCTCTCTATATATATATATATATATATATATATATATATATATATATATATATATATATAATGTTTGCGAGTATGTGGGAACGCCTGCGCACGGTATTAGCACATTATTTAGTGTTAATTCGTGTTATTACATTTTAATGGGGGTTCATCCTGAGCGTGTAACTGAATGTGGAAATTCGGTTTGATGGTTTCGTAACAAAGTGGATATTTGGGCTTATACCAATTTAAAAATTAAAACTTACATTTTAATTCAATTTATTCAATTATGTGTTCATATATACACTTCTTCCGGTTATATATCATCTCAAGTGCCACTTGTTTGTCGTTGACTGGTTGTTCTTGGTATCTGGGAAGATCTCAAATTCCTTTCATAGAATCCGAAAGAAAAGTAGGTTGATTAAGAAAAGCGGTCATCCACCCAATCTCGTCCATCAATTCCTGTCCCAGATGAGGGATAGTCATATGCTTTTGCCGATGGAAATCAGAAAAGTTCACTTGATGTTGCCGTAATTGTATCAAAGCGCCATTCAGTCTATTGTGTCCATAAAGTGTCAAATCTGAATATTGGAAAGAAGGAATTAATGCATTGTAAGATTTTATAGACAGACCTTTACTTCCTATTACCTCTCCCCCTCCTAATATACTAGAATGTCAGGTAAACATTGCATAGTCAAAAGTTCTATGGCGGCTGATTGACTCTCCAAATTAGTTATCTGAATGTTCATAACTTGAAATAACTGAAAATCAAAACCAGGGCTGTTTTGTTTGGTTTTTGTAATTGTTATTTTTGTGTCTGTCTATATTTCTGAGATGATGTATTATGTACAGTATTTACATTAGTCGGACTATTGTCCTCATCTTTGTCGCCATATTTGTCACAACGTTTCGGCCGTTGTACGCTCCGGCCTTCTTCAGGTGGTTGGAATTTCGAACTGAACCCTTTATTTCGATCACAGGGGTAGAGTGTGAGTTCAATACCCGGTTAAGGCAGTGGAGAACTTTCAGAGGGAAAATTAGCAGGAGATAACTGATAACTGACATCCATCAAACATGGCACGTGGAACTAGAACAGTCTACCCCAGTGATCGAAATAAAGGGTTCAGTTCGAAATTCCAACCACCTGAAGAAGGCCGGAGCGTACAACGGCCGAAACGTTGTGACAAATATGGCGACAAAGATGAGGACAATAGTCCGACTAATGTAAATACTGTTATTTCTGTGTTTTTTCAATAGGAATCAATAGGCTTTTCTATCGCCCGGTCTATACACTTTCCCCTTCTCTTGAACAGAAGTAGAGGCTGATAACTTGTTTCCTGTTTAGGAAGGAGTTACCGGTTTTTTTCCTTTTCTCGGGCCTTAATAGTGGTTCTATCATGAATTTTTTTGTGATGTGTGTGGCTGGTGGCAATGTTTCTTCATACTGAGAGTACCGGGTTGGCAATTTTCTGGTTGCTATTCCCAATCGGTAGTTAGGAGACTAATTTCTTGCTTAACGCCTTGAAAGGCTGCTCTGATCAACAGTCGTATAGTAACGGGGTTCTTGCAGTGCCATATCGCGCATGGAAGGCAAGTTTCTCCGGTGGGCAACCCCGAGGCCACACTATGTTGCATTCTGTGCCAGTTCCCTTCCTGCACATGTTATATTAGACGACAGACTGCTAGGCCTTTCCTTGCCTAAACAACACACTATGAATATAAGGTAGCAAAGATATAAAACTAACCAAGCTCAACAAAAATCATCTAAATCCCTCAGCATTTATTTCTCTATCATTCGTGGTTCTTGTACCAGCTTCTACAGTGTGGAATCGTTTCTATTCGAAAAGTTTTCGGACATCTTAGCTCCTTGTGAAACTAAACTTATTCCTTCAATCCTCTCCTCTGATTTCTCGATTCTTGGCTATCTTCCTTTCCTCAGGAAGGACTCTAATGTCCACATGCATGGCCTTGGAGGTTATGTCCATGGACATCTCTCGTTGGCTAGGAAACTCTCTCTTGAATCTCCAACCCACTCTTACATGTGTCTTCGTCTCTCTCTACTTAACTCGGTCAGCTATCTCTTCTTTCCCTACCGTTCCCCTTCCTCTCATGACTGTTGCGTGTTAGATAGTGTTTCTGATAATATAGACAAAGCCATCGTACTATGCAGCGCTGCCCTTTTGGCAACTCTGATCATCTGTTTGTGTCTGTAACTACCCACCAGCCAAGAACCTCCTAGCAACAGAATATTTTTCTGTTATCAACGTGCCGATTGAGACTCGTTCCGTGACTTCGTTCGTGACTTCCTTTGGAATGCAGTTTTTAATCATCCTGTTCATAAATGCGCGTCTGAGGTCAGCTACTGGGTGAAATCCGGCATCGATACTTTCATTCCAGTAAGGAAATACCAAATTAAACCGCACTGATCTCCTTGGTTTTCACCTGCATGTTCAGCTGCTATAGCCCACAGGAATCACTTCTTCCGGCTGTATCAGAGCAACACATCTGATTGCAACAGACGTCTCTTTATCTCTTCTCGTAACGAGTCTTCAATGAAGCGAGGTTACTGTTTGCTTATAGAATGAAACAATGTATAGCTTTTCGCAAGTTCGATTCTAGAGGTTATTGGCGACTCTGCAAGAGCGTTCTGGACAACAGCAAGTCCTCAATCTCTATTCAATCAATTCGAAGTCTTAAAATCTACAGCAGATAAGGCTGAATGCTTTGCTCTTCCATCTCAACATTCGAATCATTTGGAGTACCCACA